GCCGCCGCCACCGGCACCGGCGCCCGCCGCCATCTTGGCGCATCCGGCTCCCAGCGCCGCCGACGTGTCACGCGGCGCGCGCGCGCTGACGTCACAGCGCGTCCCCGGCGCCGCTTGTTTGGGTTGCGCTCCTGCCGCGCCGCGCTGGCCCCGCCCCTTCCGCCTCCGGTGGGTGGGGGTGGTGGGGGAGGCACAAAGGCGCTCGACGCGTGCGCAGTGCGGCCGCGCCTCGCTGAGGCGCTGGTTCGAGTCCCGCCCCGGGAGTCCGCYTTGGTGGCGAGGCTTTCAAAATACATATTTAAATATATTCGGCTAAGTGCTGACATCTGGATACGGCCCCGCGCGCACACACGGCAGTTGCCACGGCGAGGGCCGGCTGTGCGGATCCCTGCAGGCTCCATCAGGCAGTGGGGACCCCATGGCCCCCTCAGCCAAGGTGGCGGCGCCATTAGCCCTGCCGAGCCCTGTCCTGAGGGCTGCACCGAGCGAGTGTCCCGCAACCAGGCGCTTTGCCGAGCGGCACTGCTTTCAGCTGCAGCCCCTTCTCCTCCAGGCTTCACCTCAGACCCGTGTKGGGGTCTGAGAGATAAAGGGACCCCAAATGGCTTCAGTGCCGGCCTCACCGCGGCCCTCAGGCCCTCGGCGCAGCCTTCCTGTCCCCAGGCTCCCCACAGAGAGCGCGGCTGGCGGCTGCACTGGCGCAGGAGGCCGCCAGGGTGGGATAAAGCACCATGGGCAGCCGCGCAGCCATGTTCCCGGCCGAGGAGACCTTCCCGCTGCCTCAGCCGCCGCCACGGAGCCCCGCATGGCTCCGGGGGACCTTCTGTGGCACAAGAGTGTCCCAAACCGTGGCTGAAGAGACGCCTCAGCCCAGCCTTTAGGTCTTGGCCGTGATGCATGTGCTTTGCAGGCCTACAAAAACCTGCTCCCAGGGGATCGTATGGTCCATTTGGGGCGGAATGCCCTCAAATACCTCAAATGTGCATCATCCTGCCTCACAGACACGATTCCCACCCCGAGGAGCTCTTGAGGATGGAGTCACTGCGTTGGGCAGCTCTCTCCGGAGGGGAAACCACAAGTGACCGGAGCAAACATCTCCATCAAGGGTCGCCATCAGTGCAAGGGCTGCTCTGGGCGCACGTGGTCGCGGTGGTACCAGCCCGAGCGGGGCAGGCAGTGCTTTGATGCCCCTGTGAGAACCAGGGCAGCACGGCAGCTTTTCATGTCCCTTTCATCTCTTGCTTTTGTGCAACGCTCTTATAGACGGGCCTGTCAAATGCCATTCCCCTGCACGGGAGTGAAATGTCCTCCCTAAAACATGTAACCTGAGGAAACATGATTTTAGTTATCCTGGCGGGCTCTGTAATATCTGTATTCTGTAAATAGCATGCACAGCTTACACCCAGGCCTATAACTGTCTGTTTGTATTGGACATTTAACCCACTCTGTACGCACAATTCAAACACTAGSTTGTGATGGTATCTCAGCTTTGCCACTTTCCTGTTCAACCTGCACTTATAAAATTGGTAAAATTAAGACATCGAGTCCCTTTCAAGCGTGAAGCTTTATAACTGATTAGCTGTGCTAATTGAATGAAACCAATTTGGGCCTCGCTAGTGCCGCATCCCAAGTCAAAAGACACTTTCAAGAAAAGAGAACAGCAACCCACCTTCTCTATCCTTTTATCAGCTTACCTGGGATATCATACAAGAGATGCTGACCCCTGCCATTAAGTTTGGGGAAATTTTGCAGCCCAATGCAAAATAAAGAGACCTCGTGCTGCTCCCCATGTTGGGAAACGGGAGCAGTAGCTGAAGGAGAGCTCCTTGTATGAGCATCGCTATTCCCTATTGCATTAGCCAACTCAAACAAACCGAGCTCTGTTTATTTACTCACTCGGTTGCTGACTTTTGTGGAGCTACCCCGGCCGCATTAACCCAGGTGTAATTGGAGAGAGGCTGCGCCTTGGCTGAGTTTGGCTCCTGGCGCGCATTCTTACGGGGGTGATGTGGACTGCGGCAATCAGGGTTCAAGCAGCTGTTCGCAACTTTCCTGAGCAAACATCAATAGCCCGGAGGTAAAAGCAATAGACAGTTGCAATTTCTAAGTGTCCCATCTAATTGAGCAGGAATAATGCAAACAAAGAATGAAAAAAACAAGCCCTGCAGCGGGTAAACAAATAGCTCAGATGCACCCAGAGCCGTGCTTACCATCGGAACAGCTCCGTGTTGATCTTGTTTTGTGCAAACACTCCTGAACTCTTCCCTGGCCCCGGAATTGCGTTCCCGTGCCTCTCAGCCCTTCTCACCTGCTATTCCCAAGCGGCTGCCCGTCTCCTTGGCCATCCTTCTCCCAKCATCTTCTGCAGACGTGAGGGCTTGAGCTTGTGGTCAGACAACTGCTGGTAAGTCAGAGGGAGATGAATACGGAGTTTGTGGGAAGTCATGAATTTGGGTGGAAAGGCTGAAAATAGGACTGTTTTGTCTTTCTCTAGTGTCTATCTTGAATTATTCTGTTGCTGGTTGTTGTTTATCCATGCGCCAGTGTAGAACTTGCTGTTTTGCCTCCTTCCTAGGTATGTAGCCTCGTCTTCCCTCTTTTTGGATTCCAGGGAATTGCATACTTTGCAACTCCGCATTTCTTTATATCCTTAAACTAGCCAGGTGCATTTAGTTGCCCCTTGCAATGCCGTGTGTTTTGCGCATCCTCAGAGTCCATTTTTGTACCTGCTCCACACCAAATTCCTGCGTTGATCCTGTGTGCTACATCCTGCCCCAGACAGCGCAGGGGAAGGGGGTGGTCTTCCCAATGCCTCGTATGGGCACGTCTATACCTGGAAATTCACTGGAATTACATGGCACGAGCACTGGGTGGGTGAGGGGTCCTGGGAACAACACTCCRGATGCTCCCAACCAGGATTCCTGGCCTGCACATGTGCAGGCTGCAGCGAAGGCAGGCCCAGTTCCTCCGGCACATCCCAGCTGGGATGCAGCTTGGGAAGGGAAGTGTCTCAGGAAGGCTGTCCTGGAGGAATTCGTGTGGTAAAGGGAATCCTCGCTAACCAACTCCCTGTTTTGGGGGCAAGAGGAGAGATTTGTCTCCACTTAAAGTTGCCTGAGCTTGCACGGAGGGCGTATTGGCAAATCCAATGCACCCGAATCCAATGCATCCAGTTGGCAACCCTTGCATCCAAAGGAGCTGAGTTTTCCCCTTGCTGGAAAGCACGGAAAGTGCTCGGGATGGATCCACATCACAGAAGCCTGAGGGGCCGGAGCACTGCCCGCTAAGGACGGGTGATGGGGACACGAGCGTTTGCTGTGGTCACCGGGGGAGCCTTGGGGGTCTGGAGGGGGCAGCTTTGGTCTCTTAATGCCCACGTGCCCTGCGGTGGCCCTGGCTTCCCGGGAGCCCCCTGCAAGCAGCCAAGGGCCCAGATGGTGCCTGGAGCTGGGGCTGCTTCCTGCCCCGAATCCCCGCGTTCCCAGAGCCGCCCGGCTAATCTGCCCGGGCAGCCCGGCTATTTATACCCGGGGATTTGGAGACTTTGCAGCTGTGCTGCAGAGTGCTCATGAGGATCATTTAAAATAAATTACCTTAAAACGTAACCTTTAATTAACTTAAACCTTAAAACTCCCGAGTGCAGCAAAGGCAGATTTGTCCACGAGCRGCCGACGCGTCGCTTTGGGGCCGCTTCTGCCCCGGCAGCGTCTTTGGGGTTTGCTCYGGACCACATGTGAGAGCTCTGCCATATGCTGGTGTGCGTGGGAAAGGGGAAGCTCGATCCGTAACTCCTAGCACCRCTCACAGAGGAGCCCGTTTCCATAGAGCCTATGGAATTAAAAACACATGGCCGTTAAGTCACCCTGGGCTGCCTCATCAGCCAGGGAATCCTCCTAAAAAACCAGCGGTGCTGACAAGGAGACCGGGCGTCTAAGTGACAGAATGAACCAGTTTTGCTGTTCAAAAGCCCTCCCCGAGCCTTAAATCTGAGGATATGTCAGGAAAATGTCACTGTGTGATCCCAAGGAACAGCCCTGCAGTGCTGCGGGATAGTGGGTTTCGCGCCACAGGAGCATTTCAAACAATTCCCGACAAAAACACTAAGCTCCAGGTTTAGTAAAATCTAGATGCCCAGAAGCATCATTTATTGCAAATCAGTTAACCAAAAAAATACATCATTTTTGCAAACTACAACTTTGCATGTAGATAACTTTATTACAGAAGATATCTTTTCTTAAACTACACTCTAGTTTATAAAACATAGGAAGATTCAACACCACGTGATGTTTAAATCACTCATGTTAAGGATGTCACAATAACAACGCTCTGAAATGTTAACTAAGATGAGTGCTCAACAAAGCTTTGTGCTTTGAGAAATATCCATTGTATTTGGTGTTCTAATAAAAAAGAACCTGGATTGTTTCCTTTTTCTTAGGTTTTCTTGATTAACTGCTCTCTATTCGCATGTCCCATATGCATATCTAGTCGTAGTCCATCTCCTTAACTTTGCAGCCCGAGTRGGGGATATTCCAACACCTCTATAAGGTGATATATTTAGGATATATTTAAGACTTGATCATTTAGATTTTTGAAACAAAATCCACCTTTTCTTAAAAAAAAACAAATCGAAAAAACATATTTACAAACATTAAATCTGCCACAGGCGTATACTATATTTTACATATTTGTCTGTGTGTGTGTTCCCCACACCTCTACGAAAGCGTGCATCAATGTAAAAAAAGATGCAGCCCTGCAGAGCAAGAAGAGCAGGATGTCGCCGTGTGCTGGCGCCGCTGGCAGCGTTTTGGTGCTCGGTTCTCCTCGGGCTGCCCCGTCCCCGGGCTCGCCTCTCCAAACTAGGTAAGGCCGTCCTTAAAATAAGGACATGGCTCTAAAAGTTCAAATCTCAGCATCAACTTCTTTAACAGTCACTCAACTGCAAAAAAAAATAAAAAATATAAAAAAGACCACATCAAAAATCACCTGTAAAGATATTTAAAGTAAAATGAAGTTTCCTGTATGTATAAAATCCAGTTACGGGTTTGCTTTTTGAAAAAGGAAAAAAAAAAAAGTTTGTCAAATACTCTTTGCTTTTGGGCAGCATTCTTGTTTTGTAGGTTTTTGTTTAGCTTAGAACCTGTTGTTACAGGTCTCTAATCTTGTTTTTTTTTTTGATCATAAAAAAATCATTTAAATATATATTTTTATATATATAAAAAGAGAGAGAACAAGAATTTCTATTAGCAAGGCAAATGTACAACTATATAATACTGAAACTTTAAACAAAGATTCATGATCGGTACCATAAAATGTCCTCTCCGAAGCAGTAGTCAAGGAAACATTTTAAAGTACATTGCAAAAAATCAGTTCATCCTTTTTCCCCCCTAAAAGTGGTTGTTAATTCTCCATTTCTCCCCCTTTTTTTCTTCTTTTCTCGCATTTTTTCTGAATTGTAAGAAAAAAAAATAAATTAGTATCTTAGAATCATGAATCATTGCTTATAGCTTTAGATAGACATTTCCTCTCAAATTAACACAACGAAAAAACCCCCAAAGAACAAAAGAGACTGCTTTGTAAAAAAATCCCATTTTTTGATTCCTTGCAACACCGCTGCAGTGTCCCACAGTGAGTTCTTAACAACAGAACGTATAAATAAAAAAAGGCAGTGTTCCATGTAAAATAAAAAGTACATAAATAAATACTAAAAAAAAAAGTCTTTTTTTTTTTTTAAATTTTCGTATAAAAACATATTTTAAAAGGATCCTTTAATAAAAGCATCCCGCGTCCTTTGAGAGAAGATCTCCCTTGGGCTCGCGCTGCGCGCCAGCGTCTCTGGGAGCCCGCCCTTCACTTGAAGGCCTCGGGGATGTGTCCCATCTGCGACTGCATGCTCGTGGGAGGGCTGGAGATGCCTTCGGACCAGTCGGACACGTTGGAGTGGGGCGAGGAGCTCGACCACTGGTCCGGCGACTCCGGCGACGGCGTGAGGAAGGGGTGGTCGGGCACCTGGAGCTGGTGGCTCGGCGTGTTGTCCAAGGGGGAGGAATAGCTGTGCTGCGAGGGCGGCGTCAAAAACTGCGTCGCGGCGCCCAGGGGCGGCGCGAGCGCCGGCGGCAGCGACGTGGGCAGCAGCTGCGGCGGCTCCTGCGGCAGGATGGTGTGCACGGCGATGGGCCCGCTGCTCACCGGCTGCAGCTCGGCCGGGCTCAGCTCGCTGCCCAGGAAATTTTGGCCCATGTGGCCGCCCGCGTTGGAGCTGGGGTTGTGGTGCTGCGGCGGCGGCTGCTGCTGCTGCTGGGGCTGCTGCTGCTGCTGCGGCTGCTGCGCCAGCTGCGGCGCCTGCTGCATGTTTTGCTGCTGCATGTTTTGCTGCTGCATGTTCTGCTGCTGCATGTTTTGCTGCTGCAGCTGCTGCAGCTGCTGGCCCTGCAGGAGGTGAGGCTGGGAGGCCAGGCGCGTGTTGGGCATGGCCTGGTAGCTCATCATCTGCGACAGGCTGGTGCTGGGCAGGCCGTTGTGCAGCGAGGTCATCATGCCGTGCTGGAGGCTTGGCGTCTGCTGGTGCGGCCCGGCCTGCATGCTGCCCCTCAGCGGGTTGTACTGACCCTGGGCCATGCCGTTCTGCAGCCTCGTGAGCCACTCGCACTGCCCGTTGAGGCTGGCGGTGCCGCCCACGGAGAAATTCATCGGGGCACTGCTCATGGCCGTGCTGGGGCTGGAGACGGGCAGGTGCGAGAGGCGCGGCGGCACCGCGTCGAAGGCCATCCTGCCGGAGCTGCCCATGGCCATATCCTGCTTCCCGGCCATGTTGAGGTGGTTGATGCTCATGTGGGCATCAGGCATGCCTGGCAGGTGATTCAGAGGCATGGAAGGCGACTGCTGGAACGGAGAGGTCATCAGCGGAGGAGAGGCAACATCTGACAGGTACCCATGGGGCGACTCCAGGGAGTCCACGGGCGACAGCACACTGGAGTTGTCCAGCAGGCACCCTTTCCCATCCTGCGATTTTTTCCTGCGGGCTTTGAGGTCTTTGGAGTCCTTGCCGTTGCAGCTGAGGCCCTTGGTGCTCGGCTTCCTGGCCTTCTTGCCCTGCCCGGCGGGTTTCAGGTTGCCGATGTAGCTGTTGGGAGAGCAGAGCGGCGGCGAGAGCGTGGGGGCGCCCAGCGGGCCGCCGTGCAGCGGCGGGCTGCGCACCAGGTTGTACTCGTCCAGCAGCCGCACGATGTCGTGGTGCATGCGCTCCTGGGCGATGTCCCGCGGCAGCCGGTCCATGTGGTCCGTGATGTCGCGGTTGGCAAAGTGGTCCAGGAGGATCTTGGCCGTTTCGTAGCTGCCCTCTCTGGCTGCGAGGAACAGCGGGGTCTCCTCCTAGAAATCCAGCAAAGATGGTTGGCTTTATGTTCATACATTACTATCCTGAGCCCCATGCCCACAACCATGGAACTGGGTAGGGCAGAGGGACTTGGAGCTGTCTCCTGGCAGGGTTTTGGAGCTGTTTCCTGGCAGGGTTTTGCTGCTGCCTGTTCTAATCCTGCTGAGCCATCTCCTTGCACTCAAACCAAGAACCYTAAGGGAACCCAGGGGACATGGCCACACTAACATCATATCCTACCCCTCACCAAGCACTGCGCAGGCCACCAACATCACCCTGAAGACCAAATCCCAAACTACTACTTCAAATTACATCCATCAGCTCCAATCACAGCAGAACAACCAAATAAGAATCACAGTGTCAGACTGTCTTGTAGCTTAGATAAATATTATCCTTCAAACTGCTCACGGGACAGTTTCTTTCTTGTTTATTTGCCAGCCTAGAAGCCCCCCTACCTTATTGTTCTGCATATCCTTATTGGCACCRTTCTTCAGGAGGACAACTGCAGCTTCAACGTTGTTCACAGCCGCTGCCCAGTGAAGAGCTGACTTGCCTGTGAGGGACAACCACGAAAGACAYGATGCATCAGCAAGAGGCAAGAGGAACAGCAACCACCCGCTGCCCACCGCCTCCGAGCAGGGATGTGTGTGAGACGCCTGCAGTACCGAGGTCATCCACGGCGTTGACATCTGCGTGGCAGTTGATGAGGTCCTCCAGCATGCCCTCCACAGCCAGGCGAGCAGCCAGGATGAGCGGCGTGGTTCCATCGTGCATGCGGGCGTCAAGATCCGTGGCTCTGTTTCTAATCAGGATCTGCCGCAACGAGATCAAAGCACGGGAAACGCAAACATTAAGAGAGGCAGATGGCAGAGAGTGCAGAGAGAGACCAACATCCAGGGCTTGGCAACCCCTTCCCAGGTGTAGGGTCCCTGGAGGCATCCCTCCCTGCTTGGGGCAGATGTGCACCAGGAGAACTGCCACGGGGAAGCTCATGCTGATGCTCTGCTGAGATAAAAGAGGCTTCGGTCTTCAAGACTTTGCCTTGTACCTTGCCAGGGCAGTAAATGACTACAGCAAAACTGACTCTCTAGAACAAATTCTCCTTGAAGTTATGACCTCCTCAAGCAAGGACAGGATCAGCCACAAAACACACAGAGCGCAAATACTTTTGCCTACAGATAGAGCAGGACAGAACTCCCCGAGACGGGCGGGCTAAAGGTGGAGGTACCTGGAAGACTCCTTGGGCATCGGCTGAGACCGCTGCATGCAGCGGAGTCCTGCCCATGTTGTCCTGGATGTTGGCATCGGCGCTGGCCTCCAGCAGGCGCTTGGCAGCGTCGGAGCGGGAGTAGCGGGCGGCCAAGTGCAGCGCCGTCTCGCCGGTGCGGTCCGTCTGGTTGTGCAGGCTGGCGCCTTGGTAAATGAAGTCGGAGATGACCGCAGGGGCATCGTCCTCCTCCTCGCTGTTGCCGGTCTCCAGCCCTCCGCCGCTGCACGAGGCGATCATGAGAGGGGTGAAGCCATCTGGGAAACACGGTGAAAAAGGRCTTTTTAACTCATCTGTGGTGCAGGCATATCGGCAACATGTTCTGTTTGCAAWGGCTGCTTATTCTCGTGGGTGCCTAGAGACTTTGTTCCCGACATAAAACGTGAATATCCTTCCTCTGATATGGATCTGAAATTCTTTAGCGGCATCTCATCACTCACTGGCTTTCCTATTTAGTCTGCAAGCTTGGACATTGCAACATGCAAGGTGCAGTCTATTACGGAAGGTTGCTCAAAGMAAACTTTGGTACATAGGAAAGCCTTAAATATTTAAATTATTTCAGAGACAGATTCACCATGAGGGGGAAGATCTTGAACCGTGCAGTTTGGTGAAGGAATCTTGGATTAGCAGAGAGAGGGAGCTGCATGATTTAATAGGTGCCCTCTATTTCCACCTCTGTAATTAAACAAAGAGATCTTATGGAAAGCAAAATGCAATAGGGTCTCTCTCTGAGTTGTGCAGAAGAGTAGGTCTGCAGTGTAGAAGAATGGCTAGCACTGCTGCCTCTACATTTGGCTGAGAGATTTTAGATTAGCTGACAAGTAGCACAGCAAGCGAAAGGCTTCTGCCTTACCAGGACCCCTGACGTTGACATCTATGCAGTCGGCATCRATTTCGCCTTGCGGTGGAGTAGGTGCCATGGAGGATATGCGGAGGTCAGCCGCGTCCAGGTGCTGCTGAGTCCACTGCCTGTGGTCTGTCTGATCGTCGGTATCGGGCAGCATTGCCTGCTCCTCAAACTGAGAAAGGACGAAAGGAAGTGAACCCCAGGAAGATGCACAAGACAGGGGAGGGAGGACGGAAAGGGAGCTYTAACTTGGGAAGTTCTGCGAGTCACAAAGCTGCATTTGTCATGCAGGTTTGAAAAGGAGCCTTCAGAAGGGGTGAGCAGCACAGGCTGGGCCCCAACGGGTCCATTCCATTGCTTCTCACTGCACTCTGCTCCCTTCGTGTCAAAGCTGAGCAAATCTCTATTTGCAGCACAAAAAGGAAATCTTGCACTTAGCCTACCCTGAACTTCTTGGTGTCCAAGGTCTCCTCATCACCCCATTCATTTTGGTTGTCATCCATCAAGGTGCCATCTGAAGCATTTTTGAGGGGTCTTTAAAAAYAAAAGCATGGAAGAAATTAACTCCTCTGCAAGAAGGTCTGTGATTTTCTACCYGATTATCTACCTGTGCTTAACTACAGGCAAAAACAGAAAACAGAAACAAACAAGGCAATTTCCAGAAAGCTCCCCTCAAGCTGCCTGTGATTTAGTTTTTTAACAYGTGCAAACAGACCATGAAGCATTCAAATATTCCTCCAAACTGCAACACTGTTTTCCCCATGCAGGTCTCTAAGACCYCCTCATTTCCTCTTCCCCATTACACCGACAAGCAGCAGTAAAGAACAAAACTCGATCGGGTTCTTCGAGAGGAGCTCCCGAGCAGCCCCAGTCCGCGTGTTTAGTGGACCCACTAATAATTTAGTGGGTTAGCAAGCAGGTTACTCACTTGAGTCCAACAGAATCCTCCCCAAGAGGTTCTCGCCGCTTCTTCTTGCTCGACTCGGTCACTTTGAAGCCTTCTGGGAACCAGAGCTGCCCATGCTCCCGGCGCCGCTTGCGGGACACCAGCACCCCGACGCCGATGAAGGCGAGCAAGACCAGCGCGGCCACCACCACGTACATAGGATAGAGCTGCGAGCTCCTCGGGGGCTCCGCTGTTTCACCTGCCAAACAGAGGGGCACAAAGAGGCGCTGAGACATTAAGCTGCATAGCAAAGCAGTGACAGAGTGGAAATGAAGCAAAATTAGTTAATAAAGGTACCTAAGGCTGATCCAAATCAGCCCCCCCCTCCCCAAAATAAGGTCATTTTATATGCTATTAATCAGAATTGCAAACTATCGGCAAATTCTCCGCTGCACAAGCCAGCTGCATCAGGAGACAGCTTTACTTTTTTCTCCTTTAAGGAAAAGGATTAGCAAACTTCAAATCATTGCGCTTGCATTGAGCTGTTAAGACAAAAGGATTTAGGGGGGATTTTCGAGATACAAACTTCAACTCCTTGCATGTCACTGATTGATTGGAGCTGGTTGATTTTTCCTTTCTATTTTTTTTTTGAAAAAAAAAAACTTTTATAGCATAATGATTTTGAAATAAACCTGGAATAAGCAAAAATAATAAACTATTTTTGTATTATTTTTTAGAAAACAGACTTAAGGGAAAAATAAATGCTAGGCAATGCAAGACCAGACTGTGCTCACATACATTATCTGAGCCAGCTGACAAGTATCCAGACATGGATAGGGCTGGAAAGTTTCGGTASTCTCTCATCTCCATCCAACCGACTGCACTTACTTTTAACAGCTTCTATTTTATAGGGGATGTTCAGGTTGCCCAGGGAGGCCAAGGCACCCAGGAAAGCCGCCACGTCGGTTGCGCTCTGGAAGCACTGGGAAGAGGACTGGATGCATTGGCGGTTATCAATTTCCAAGTAAACGATGGATCTGTGTGAGAGAAGAGTCAATGAAAAGTAAGGAGGGATGATCATGCTGAAAAGACAGATAAGACCCGTCTCCCTTCCCTCCTTAACCCTCTATCAGTGGCTGTTAGGAGGYGGGAACCCATTTCTTGGCTTCTCTGTGGCCCGAGCTCTGCAGCTYACGCCGATGGTCTATTGGATTTGTGTGAACGAAGGGAAGTCCAGCTCCTTGTCCATAGGAATGCATGGCAGGCTCTGCTTAACTCTCTGCTTTAGAATTACCCAGACACTGCAGCATCTTAAATAAGAATGCTATATAGGAGCCTTTAAGATCTTTTCACATCAGCTTCCTTGCTGAAATTCCTTTGGTTTCCAGACTTTTGATTGAGTCCACAGAGAGAGGGAAGGCTGGATCTATATGTTTATACCAAAGATCTCCAAACTCTTGCCGCTTGCAGTAATTGAGTTTTACAACAAAGCTCCAGAAAGCATTTCCCAGGGAGAAACTGAGGCTTAACTTAATGACTTCCTGAAGTCAGACAGATGGTCAGACCAGCCGCTGCTTCAAGGACCCACCCAGCCCAGTCCTGGCTCCTAACAATACCCAAGGCTCCTTTAATCGTGAGAGCTGCCGAGGCTTCGTGTCGGGGACTCCTGAGCGATCGCTCGCTTTTCCCACAGAAGAGCGAAATCCGGTTTCTATTCATGCGGAAAGCAACATCAAAATACAATTATCTGGCCCACATCCTTTTCTTCATAGCATGTTACTATTATCAACACAGAAAACAAAGGCTGCTCAGCACAAACAAAAACAAAAACAACTCATTGATTCCTCTTACCCTCTGATGTCCATCTGATCCAGCTCTCTCTTCTGCCTCCTGCCAGCCCTGGAGTAGAGGCTGCTCTTTACTTTGTTGATGACGGCACTAGACATATCTGACCAGTCCTCTGTGGACCTCTTTATGTAATGCTTTTTCAGCTCTTCCTCATTGCCATAGTATGGAAAGATCATGTACTCTCCCTTGGGGTTCTTCTTGAAGACCACGTTGGTGTGCAGCACGCGGCTCAGCTCCCGCAGAAAATTGAAGGAATTGTTCTTGAGGTTCTCCGGAGTGATCAGCACCACCACGACCAGCGTGCCGTCCGCAAGCTTCTCTGGCATATTGTTTGCACAGTCCAGACCATCCCATTCACACTCAAAATTATTGCAGCCCTGGTCACAGTGACCATCGGAGAAGTGGTCTTTACAGTACTGGTCATACAGAGGGCTGGGCAGAAGAAAGAGAAAGGCAGAAGGATATGTTAGACTGAATACTGCTCAGGTTACCTGTCTGCTGAGAAAATAATCTGTGCTTCACAAGGATATCTCTTTCATCTAAGTGCTGCTCATCCTGATGGATGCTAAAGCATTTTATAGAAAAGGGAATTGTTTCATGCAGTGCTGCAAACTGTACATCTCTGGGGGTGAAGCTATAGAATCATAGAATCATAGAATCATAGAATGCCGAAGGTTGGAAGGGACCTCAGAGGTCATCGAGTCCAACCCCCCTGCTCACGCAAGGTCACCTAGAGCACATGGCAGAGGGCTATAGCACATGGCACAGGGCTAAGCTGTCCAATTGCAGGCTGCATTTTAGGCGACAGAAGACAAGGACAAATTACTGTGACTCAGTGAAGATAGGGGGACACAAAATAGCTACTCAAACCAGAGTTTGTCCAGGAATTTGGAACTGAGCTCGTGCTGTTGCCAAAACCAATGTTTGGTAAATGCCTGCATGCTAACATCATCGTGTGTTCTGGCTGGTCTTCCTCTGAACCCTCGCTACGCTAAAACGCTCTCTGTTACCACGGTGGGTTCCAGAATAATCTAGCAGCCAGTGGCTGCAGGGGTGATGCAGGCAAGGATGGCTTGGAGGAATCTCACTGGGACATGATACAGGCGAGGATAGGGAAGCAATCCRGGAAGAGGCAAACACAGAAAGCTTCTAAGTGGGTGAAAAGCTCAGTAAACTCCACAGGTATAAATGCCACATGGTGGCTTGAGATGCATATATATAAAAATATATATCAGAACATAATATAAATATATATATATCAGAACATATACAGCACAGCAGTGAGTGGAAAGCAAAATAAGCTATAAAAGAACACCTGAACTTCAGAGCTTTAGCAGATACAACCAGAAAATATCCCCAGATGATCAACAAAGAGAGAGGTCTTGGTTTTAGAGCAAGAGGGCCAAGGAATAGCAGGAAGGTTGGACTAGATGATCTGTAGAGGTCCCTTCCAACCTTAAATATTCTGAAATATTCTGAAATATTCTGAATAAATCACTTACTTGCACTGCCCTTCGTACTTCTGGCAGTCAAAGCCATCGTAAAGGCAGCCGGCGTTGTTGCACTGCGCGTCGCACTTGCCGTCGTTGAAGTATTTCCAGCACTGCAGGGACTGGGAGCAGTTCTTCCAKGGGTCGTTGAAATTGAGGGAGCAGTCGCCTCCGTCCCAGCCACACGCGTGGTTGTTGCATTTCCCGTCGCAGATCTTGTTGCCCGCGTACCCGGCGCAAACCGCGATCTCGCACTTCTCCTCGATTTTGGGGGGGATGATATCCTGCCCGATGCCGCCTTGGAAATCAAAGTCAAGGATGTGGCAGTTGAGGCCATTGAAGTTGGCGGGGCAGTTGCAGCGGTAGTAGGGGGAAGCGTCGCCGAAGAACTCGCAGGTGCCCCCGTTGTAGCAGGGGTTGGAGTTGCAGGGGCTGCTGGCCGGGTACTGGCACTCGGGACCCGTGAAGGCCGGTGCGCACATGCACTTGGAGCTCTTGTGGATGGAGATGCAGGTGCCTCCGTTGAGGCAGTGCAGGTTCCCGCACGTGCGCGAGTCATTCTCGCAAGTGGCACCAACGAAACCCTGGGGAGGTGACAGCAAGGAGGGCGTTAGCATCACGGAGGCGCTGCATAAAACACCCACGTGCTTTGGGAAACTGAGCACAGAACTAGTGAGTTGTGTAGACACAAACAGGGCGTAGCTCTCGGGCTTCCATTGGAGCTAGTGAGGGACAAAAATAGTCCGCAGCGTAAACCCTGTTAGACCATCCCCTTCGTAATGAAAAGCGGCTCTTCTCCAAAGCGGCTGCTCCCCTCCAAGGGCAGCAGATACCTACCAGGGGGCATTTGCAGATGAAGCCACGGCCGGTGTTGCTGGCAACGGCACACGTGCCACCATTCCTGCACGGTTTGCCTTTACATCCATCCACCACCGTGTCACAGCGGCGCCCTGCAGAGGGAGAGGGACGTGCGTGAGACACCGAGGGAGATGTGCGAGACACGGCGGGACGTGCGAGCGACAGGAGGGCTGCAGGGGGGACGTCGGCGGGCTGTGGACACGGTGCTCACCTGTGTAGCCGGGCCGGCATTCGCATTTGTAGTCATTGACCCGCTGCACGCAGTTCTGGGTGCCGCGCGCGTCGCAGGGGTTGGACAGGCACTCGTTGACGTCTCCCTCGCAGCGCTCCCCTACAAAGCCAGGGGGGCAGATGCAGCTGTAGCCACCTACCCGATCCGTGCACTTGCCATTGTTAAAGCACTTGGGCCCCAGGGTGACAGGATCAAAGAAAGGGCTGCAGTCATCCACATTGATTTCACAGTGCACCCCTAGAGAAATGGGGGAACAACCCACAGAGCTTGTCAAACAGTGCCGGGGTGCCCGGTGGTGCCTCGAGCGCATCTCCCTGCCACGAGGCCGACCCGACGAGCTCGGTGGCGGTCCGGGCCACTGCTCTGGCAGGACACACGCAGCGCCCTGCAGCCCGAGCCCCGGCTACGCGGCCTTGACGCCTAAGCTAGCGAGCCAAGCCAAGCTCTGCTGCCGCGCTTGCTGCTAGCAGCCTGCGCCGCTAATGAGCACGTACCGAGGATAGCAGTACGCAACCCGCTAATGCCCCAGCCTGGGGAATTAATTTACCTTGAGTTCCTCTAGGGCAGGAGCATTTGTAGGTATTGATGAGATCGATGCAGGTTCCTCCATTCTGGCACGGGTGGGACAAGCATTCATTGATCTCTTCCGAGCAGTTAACTCCATGATAGCCAGCCACACACTGCAAGGAGGGAAGAGGGCAGCGGTTGGAGGTGTTCGCTCCAGGAACGGTCCCACTCAACCTGAGTCCCTAGATGGCTCCTGGGACATGCAGATGCCTGGTCTATTCCAGCCCCTGCCCTCGGGAGCTCTCACAACCCCACCAAGAGGGCCGAACGACCTTCACTGCCCTCGCTCCATGCTTCAGCATGGGAGAACGGCTGCAAAGGAACCCAGGGAACATCCTCAGCCTTTAATCTGGCAAAGGGGCATTAGGCCAGGCTGACATTCTGCTGCTTTTGCAGAAGAAAGGCTGCTTTCCCCCAGTGCATCTTGAAGCACAAAACAGGCTGTGATGTGATTCTACCGAGGGCAGAAGGGCTGCGGGAGGAAGCAGCAGGGAATCGCTGGGGGTGCAGGCTCCCCCATGGCACCCACCTCACAGGAATAGCCGCCCAGGTAGTCGGTGCAGGTGGCTCCGTTCTGGCAGGGGTTCGGGGAGCACTCGTCCACCTGCTCCTCGCAGTAGCTGCCGGTGTAGCCGGCTTGGCAGCGGCAGAAGTGAGTGTTGCCCGTGTCCACGCAGAGCCCCGCGTTCCTGCAGAGATGCGCCACGTCGACGCCTGCCAAGGAGAGCGCGGTGAGACACGGGCACCTCAGCAAGAGCCAACGGAAACCCCTCCTGACCACACTTCATGTGTCCCACCAGGACTGCAAGCTCCAGCATAGTGTGTTCACATCAGAGTAGCCCCTGAGATCATTCTGCATTGTGCCAGAATTGAACTCATCTGCAGAGCCCAGCAGCACAGGCGGCCGCTGTTCCTCGGGACACAATCCCAGCCCTGCTGAGGCAGGGAGTTACCTTGCTGCTTGGCAGCCACCTCGCAGGAGACGCTGGGCACGTCGCAGTAGAGCCCTGTCCAACCACTGTTGCACTCGCAGCGGTACAGGTTGTTGGTCTGCCAGCACTTGCCTCCGTTTTTGCAGGGAGAGGAGTCGCACCAGCGCACCAGGTTCTAGACAGGGGACAGCAAGGGATGGAGGGTCAGATCCAGCCRGCAGATACCGACAGCGACTGGGAGCAGCAGCATGAGAGAAGCACCCACAGCCGAGAGGGCAAGAGTTGTGTACCTGGCAGTTGAGGCCGGTGTAACCCTGGGGACAAGTGCACTTGTATGTCCCATAGCTGTCCTGGCAGGTGCCCCCATTCAGGCACGGCTTCGAGTCGCACTCGTTGATGTCGTGCTCACAGTAGCTGCCCGTGAAGCCGGGCGGACACAGGCAGGTGAAGGTGTTGATGCCATCCACGCAGGTCCCGCCGTTGAAGCAGGAGCTGGGAACACAGACACCACATGCCCGTGAGGCTTTGCCCTCAGCCGACGTGCTGGCCATCCCTGCGAGCGCAGGGCACGAGCAACTGGCCCTTGGCAAGGCTTTGCCCAAGGTCACAGGGCACTGCAGGGACTTCAGCCCTTTGTGTAAACCCTGCATCAGCACCAGATAAGGGCTGGCCCCACAGCCAGGCCAGTGCAGGGCACTCTTGGCTAGTACCTCTCGGTGCAGTCAGGCGTGTTGTTCTCGCAGTGGATCCCACTGAAGCCGGAGGGGCAAGTGCAAGTGTAGCTGTTGACGCAGTCGGTGCAGTTGGCACCATTCTTGCAGGGATTGCTGGCACACTCRTTGATGTCCTCCTCACACTTGGGCCCACGGAAACCAGCCAGGCACTCGCAGAAGAAGGTGCCAACTCCRTCGGAGCAGGAGCCACCGTTGTGGCACGGATCTGCACAGAGGGGACAGGCACAATCAGTGCAATCCAGCCCCAGCACGACGGCCCTGTCCAGAAGCTGCCCCACAGCGCAGAGCACAGGTCCCCTGGCTGTGCAGAGCGCAGGACAGAGCCAGGGGACAGAGAGAGGCCAGCTCAGCACGTGGCGGCCAGGACAAGGCAAGGGTGCACAGGACACGCTTGCTCACTGCCTGCACGTCACCTCCCCATAATCTCCTTCCTGTCGGTGCCCGCTCGGCCTTGCATTGACGCAGGTTGACCGAGGCACCCTCGAGACGCCCCAAACGCCCCCAAGCAGCGTTTAGCCCCATGGGAGCCCTCCCCACAGCTCGTCTTGGCCCCAGGAGGGGCAGAGGGGCCTTGGGGCCAGGGCAGGGCCCCAGGGCGGCGCGGGCTCTTACTTGGCTTGCAGTCATCGATATCGGTGTCGCAGTTGCGGCCGGTGAAGCCGGCCTTGCACAGGCAGCGGTAGCCGCCGTTGGTGTTCTGGCACGTGGCCCCGTTCCGGCAAGGGCTCTTCACGCACTCGTTGATGTCGATCTCGCACGTCTGACCTGCGAGGCAGAGCGGGGCACATGCTTGAGGGGTTGGGAAGCAAGAACCGCAGGGACGGCATTGCCTGGGCCCACGGAAGGGTCACATTGTGGTCCACTTCAAAGCAAGGGCTGGAGCCCTCGCAGCAACAGCCSTTGTGCAAGGGCAGGTGAGGGACTGTGTCCCATGTGCTGCTGCTGAGCAGTGGGGAAGGTCTGAGCCTCCTGTGAGGATGGGCATGGTGGAGGCTGCTCCATTGATGGGTCACACAGGCAGCCACATGCCCCATTTCCACCCGCTGCCCTCACCTCCATGCAGCCTTCCCTTCCCTCTTCATTCTTTCATTCCCCAAGTAACTGAGGGAAGAAAAGTGCCTGAGGGGGCTCGTTGTGATCAGCCCAGACTCTCCTGGTGTGGAAGCACCAGCCCAAGGCCCCGCCGTGCCCAGGTACCTTGCCAGCCAGGTGGGCAAGCGCAGGAGAAGCTCTCGTAGTCCTCCGACTCCCGGCATTCGCCACCGTTCTTGCAGGGAGCGTTGGCACAGGGGGCCAGCACATCCTCACACGTGGCTCCTGCGACAGGACAGACCCAAAGGCTTGAAAATCCATCACGATCCTCTCACGGTGCCCCAGGAAGGGAAGGTGGCAAAGCCCGCGATCCTCTCGCTACACCCAGCACCTTCCCCAGGCATCCCGAGCTGCTTCCAGGGTCCGGGCTGCCGCTGTGCAGCGCCATGGGACCCGCCTCCCGCACCCCTTCCAGCCCTGCCAGATGGGAGGGCCACGTTTCTCCACCACCCTTGGGTGCCCTGTGACCCCAGCTCTCCCCAAATCCTTTCAATTGTTGCCGCTTTGGGCCCACTGAAAAGCTGCAGTTCGGAAGTGAAGTTCGGGGTGTCTTTGCCCCTCTCGCGCTCCCCTGCTCAGCCGCTTTTCCTGTTTACGCCCAGCTAAGGGACACATTCCCTGCAAGCCCTTATCTTCCTTGTCAGCCAGTATCTCCCAAACCGGCCCTTGCTATTTTCCAGAGCCTTCCACTCCYGGCCTCACCCCTTCCCCATCCCCCCAGGGGTTTCTATGGCTACTGCCGAAGACGGGAAATGGGTCACGGCTTCCTACAATTGTGCACAGGTTGCCGAGTTGTGCCAGAGGAAGTGGCAGGCCGGCAAACAGGAATCGGGTCAGCAGATCCCGCCGGCCCCGAGCCCTCGCGCAGCCGGCACGGGCTCTGTTTTTCCAGCAAGTCCGTCAGGGATAAGCGGGGCCGCTCGCTGCACAGACCTCGGGGCCAAGCATCCATCTCTGAGGATGCCTCGTGGGCAGGTCTGGCTGAGCAGCCCTGGCCGTGCAGAGCACGGGGCCCTCGAGGAGGAGGGACGGGAGGAAGCCCTGGCCGGCTGCTTCCCAAGGCTCCTTCACGTTTCCTCTGGCGAGGCCAGGCTGGACCATGGAGCGGGGAGGTGGAGCCGCCGACCCGAGCGCAGCCCCCAACCCGTGAGCGCTGAGACTGGTTTGCAGTCAGGAATCACAGAATCACAGAATGTTCAAGGTTGGAAGGGACCTCTCGAGATCATCTAGTCCAACCTTCCTGCCCAAGCAGGCACACCCAGAGCATGTGGCACAGGACGGCATCCAGGGGGGTTTTGAAGACCTCCAGAGAAGGAGACTCCACARCCTCCCTGGGCAGCCTGTCCCAGGGCTCCGTCACCCTCACAGTGAAGAAGTTCCTCCTCACCTGGAGATGGAACTGCCTCTGTTTCAACTTATACCCATTGCACCTTGTCCTATCACTGGTCACCAATGAGAAGAGCTTGGCGCCTTCCTCCCTACATTCTCCCTTCATGAACTTATACACGTTAATGAGATCCCTCTCAGCCTTCTCCAAGCTGAACAGGCCCAGCAACACAGTCGCACACTGAGGGATTGCAATCGCTCTGGGATTGCAATCTAGGATTTCAACCCTGAGCCCAGGGGGACGGCCTGTGGTTGGGGAGCTGCCCCCCTCTCACCTGTATAGGGCAGGAGGCAGTTGCACTTGTAGCCAGCGACATCGTCAATGCACGTGCCCTGGTTCAGGCATGGGTTGGAAGCGCATTCGTTGATATTGGTCTGGCAGTTGGGTCCTGTGTTTAAAAAGATACATATATAGACGTGAGACACTGGTTCTGTTGGCAGTATCATCATGGGAGAGGGCCAAGGATATGCTGGGGACGCAATGATGACAACAGCAGCCACCCATTGCCCTTGAAGGGCCTTGACTCTTAGCTCAAGCTGTGGGAGCCTGTGCTCTGTTGAAGGCCCCTAAGATAACTTGCATTTCCACCACTCCCATCAAGACCAGGCATCTCTTATCTACACCGTGAAGCCTCGTGGTCCACCCAGAGCTCCCGCCCAGGCCGCTCCATGGAAGGAGTGGGGCAACATCCTTGGCTTTGTCCTTACCACTGAACCCTTCCCTGCAGGTACAGATGTAGCCACTGGTCATGTCCTTGCAGGTGCCACCGTTCATGCAGGGATTGGATTCGCACTCATCGTTGTTAATGTCACAGTTGGGCCCGCTCCAGCCTGGGTCACAGTCACACCTGTAGCTTTGGGGGGAAATTTAGAGCATAAGGCGCGTGATCCGGGCTGATCTTGTCCCACCATCCACCTCCTGTTGCAAAGTCAAGCCCCTAATCCTGCTTTTAGAGAGCAACATCCTTCGGGACTAGCACAGAGCATGGAACAGCACCAGCACYGGGGTTGGATGCTTGTCCCGCGTGTAAGCCATGGCAAACCCAACTTTCCAGAGCTCCCACGGATGCCATTCCCTGCAGACAGGGCAGCACGCCTGCCCTCCCGCCTACCCGTTGAGGCCGTCATGGCATCGCCCATGGATGCAGGGGTTGCTGTTGCACTCGTTCACTTCCGACAGGCACTTGGGGTCGTGGAAGCCCTCGGGACAGAGGCAGGTGAAGCCGTTGATGCCATCCTTGCAGGTGCCGCCGTTGTGGCAGGGGTTGCTGGCGCACTCGTCGATGTTCACGTTGCACATCCGCCCTGCGGGAAGGGGCCAACGGGGAAACATGGGAATGTGGCCGCCCATGGGACACGGACAGGACAAACCCTGCTTGGGATGGCCTCCCGTGGGGACAGGTGCCAGCCCCCGGCGTGAGGCACCTCGGCGCTGCCGCGCGCTCCCCTCGCACCCTGTGCAAGGCGAGCAGGACCCGGTCCGCTGGGTGCTGGGCCCGTAACCCAACCTGCCGCGGGCCACAAAGGCGCCCTTGTCCACACCTCCGAAAGGGGCTGCCACCAGCCGCCACCATCAAACAAACCAGTCGGACGAGGCGGCAACCCGATACCCATGGGAGTGGACGCGCCGGAGTCGGGTTAGCGCCACCCGAAGCCCTTTGATTTTAATTCTTTTTTTTCTTTCCTAGCAAGGCGGGGCTGAAATCACTCAGAGCAAGCAAGAGGTGCAGGATAGGGAGCAGAAATGACTCCAGGGACTTGGATCCCAACAAGGGAAGACCAGTCAGGATGTCCATCAGCCCCTCCAGGACGCCCCATTTTGCACGTATGCCCCAGGAGAGGCGGGAAAACCTCTTGCAGTGGGAACAAAAGTCCTGCCAGCGCTGCCACCGCGCTGGGGGCGGATGAAAGCCGGGATGAACCCCGTGGGCGAGGAGGGCGGCGGGCGCTCACCTGCGTAGCCCGGCTCGCAGGTGCACTCGTAGCCGTTGATCCTGTCGATGCACTTGCCGTAGTCACAGGGGTTGCTGGCGCAGTCGTCCAGGTTGATCTCGCAGTTGGGCCCTGCGGGAGGAAGAGGAGGGCGGGAGGCAGCGCTTAGCTGGGTGCTCACCAGCCCCGGGCCCTGCTGACGAGGCAGAAGGTGCCGGCGCTGCCTCGGCCGCCACAACAAAGCGCATCCCGGCTGCCCAGAACCGGGAGAACCGGCGCCGCTGCCCGGAGAGGAGCCTCACCGGTGGTGCCCTTGAGGCAGAGGCAGTGGTAGGCRTTGTTCCTGTCCTGGCAGGTGCCGCCGTTGCGGCACGGCTGGCTCTGGCACTCGTTGATGTTGACGTCGCAGCGGTGGCCCGTGTAGCCCGGCTGGCAGAGGCAGGTGAAGGCGGCCACGCCGTCCTTGCACGTGCCGTAGTGGCAGGGGTCGGGGTCGCACTCGTCCACGTCCACCTCGCAGTGGGCGCCCGAGAAGCCTGGTGGGCGACGAGGACGGCGTCAGCGACCACGGCCCCCCGACCCATGTCATAGACTCATTATGGTTGGAAAAGACCTTTGAGATGGTTGAGTCCAACCRTGAGCCCCTCAACACCATCCTGCTAAACCATGTCCCTAAGGGCCTCATCYACACGGTTCTTGAACGCTGCCGGKGACRGGGACTCCWCCACYTTCCTGGGCAGCCTGTTCAACACTTGGCTACTCTTTCCATATAGAAATTTTTCTTAATATCTAACCTGAACCTCCCCTGGTGCAACGTGAGGCCATTCCCACTTGTCCTATCCGGAGTTATTCCGGAGAAGAGACCGACCGTTGCCTATCCCCATCCCCATCCCCATCCCCATCCCCATCCCCATCCCCATCCCCATCGCAGCCTTTGTCCCACAGAGCACAATACCATGGAGGGGGGGGGCAGAGCCGGGCACCCCCCGAGCAGCCCCCCCGGCTCCTTCCCTCCCTCCTTGGCCATTGGGGCCGGGGGCGGAGGGGCGAGGACAAAGTGGGGCTTTGAGGCGGCCCCGCCGGGCCCACATAGCCGCTTTTCATCGGGGGCTTGGCATGAGGCGAGACACTAATTAGGGGCCATTCAGCTGGAAGGGCTCTGGCGGGAGCCGCGCCACAAAAGAGCCACTGTTCGCCGGGGGCCGCCGCGCCTCGGGTTTCGCCCCCGAGCCCCTCCTCGGGGCTCCTCTTTTTTCTTTTTTTTTTCTTTTTTTTYYTTTTTTTTTWATGAAATTTATATGGGATTCGGTGGCGGCGCTGCGGGCCTCACCTTCGGCRCACTCGCAGCTGTAGGTGTTGGGCCCGTCGAGGCACTTGGCGCCGTTCTTGCAGGGCGTGCTGGCGCACTCGTCCACGTCGAACTGGCACAGGTGCCCGTTGAAGCCTGCGCGAGAGGCCACCGTCACCCCCCGCTATCCATTTTCCCCCTTTCCTCCCCCCAAGACCAAGTGCAACCCCCGCTTTTCCTCCCCATGCCCCTCAAAAAGCACAATAAGAAAGTGCAAATCCCGCTAATGGATTCCGCGGCGGGTCCCTCCGGAGCGGCCGCGCGGCTCCCGCCGGCCCCGACGTTTTCCCAGGCGGGCGCCGGGTTTCCATAGGGACGGCGCTGCGGGGCCCTGAATGAGGGGCTGTGACCCGGCGCCAACAACGTCTTATTTACATCTCTAGAGGAGCGGAGCCTCCCAACTTCAAAACCCGCCTTTCACGGATTAACCGTCTCCCCCGCTCCGTCCTGTCCCCATGCCTGCCCCGTCCTCCGCTCCTCCCCGTGACTTTGACACCTCATTCAAAGCCGCTGGCGAGGCCCCCCCTCCTCGCCCGCCTTCCCGAGGAGGCGCCTTTTCAAGTGCAAAGCCGAGGGGGTTTTATTTAATCCTGCTCCATGCTCGCTCCCATGGCCCGGGCCCCGGTGGCGGCATCGCCCGCCGGGCGCGGGATGGCTCTCGGCTTCGCTCCCGCCACGGATGGGACCATTGCGGGCAATGTGGCCACGGGTGCCCACGTACCTGTGGGGCACTCGCAGTGGAACTCGTTGATCTTGTCCACGCAGACGCCGTTGTGCAGGCAGGGGCTGCTGGCGCACTCGTCCGTGTTGATCTCGCAGTAGATGCCCTCGTAGCCTGCGGGCGAGAGGCCGTCAGCGGTGCCCGCACGCTGCGCACGTGCTCACAGCCTTGGTCTCCTCCCTGCCCTGGTCTTTGCCAGCCCGCCGCAGTTTGCAAACGGCAGAGCGCAAAAAGAGCCYGGCGCTGGCGCCCCACGCGCCGCTCCCCATCTCTCCATCACGACGGGAGACCGCAGGCTCTGTCCCCAACAGAGAGCTCTTTCTTTTCCCTTTTATCCCTAAGCAAACAAGCCTCTCATGGCTACTAGCCCAAATCAATCCCGAGCTGAGGCTGGCGGATGACGGGAGCCTTCCCTGGGCGCCTCATCCCCGCGCTCCAAGGCCACGGAGCCCCGGTGCTCACCGGGCATGCAGATGCACTGGAACTCCCCGATTTGGTCCAGGCAGGTGGCATCGTTCTGGCAGGGGTTGGAGAGGCACTCGTTGACATCTATCTCGCAGCGGGGCCCCGAGTAGCCCTGCAGGCACTGGCACTGGAAGGACCCTTGGGTGTTGATGCATTTCCCCGCGTGCTCGCAAGGGTTGGCACCTGGAAAAACGGCAGGGAAAACAGCAAGCTGGAGAGCAGCTCGGGGGCGGCGCACGAGGCCCCCGCCGCCTGCTCCCGGCGCTCACCCAGCGAGCACTCGTCCACGTCCTGGTTGCAGGCGGGCCCCATGTAGCCCGAAGGGCAGGTGCAGATGGCCTTGCCGTTGACGGGGTTGGTGTCGCAGTTGGAGCCCTCGTTGCAGGGGTTGCTGATGCAGGCGTCGTCAAGGTGGCACAGGAGACCTGGGGGGCAGCAGATGCGCTCGGGTCAGCGCTGCCAGCCACGATGCAGCAGCGAGAGCTCCGCTGTCCCCTCCTCCAGAAGCCCATGGCCAAGGAGAAGAGCCCGTGGCCTTCCCAATGCAGCCCCTTCCCGGGGCTGCGGGGACGGGGGTCTCACCCGTGCGGCCGTGGGGGCACTCGCAGTAGAAGGAGGCCACCCGGTCGTGGCAGGTGGCCCCCTGGAAGCAGGCGGCCATGGCGCAGTCGTCGATGTTCTCGCTGCAGTCCTCGCCCGTCCAGCCGTTGACGCAGACGCAGTTGTAGCCGCCGTGGTTGTTGTGGCAGGTGCCCCCATTCTGGCAGGCGTTGGGCATGAGCTGACACTCATCCACATCCTCCGTGCAGTACTGGCCTGCGAGGAGACAGCAGCTCAGCACGGACACGGCGCCCGCGCTCCCAACTACACTATCTGAAGGTCAACAGAGGCTCCGTGCACCCAACGCGAGCGGTTCTGCACTCGGGGAAGCGGCACTGCTTTATCCTYGGAGCAGGACCCAGCTCGGTCCTGCTACACCCTGCAGCAGGGTCCTTACCTGTCCACTCAGGTGGGCACTGGCAGTTGTAGGTGTTGACGCCGTCCACGCAGGTGCCCCCGTTYTTGCAGTTGTTGCCCGGGCAGTCRTCGATGTTCTCCTCGCAGTTCTGACCCGTGAAACCTGAGCGGAGGAAAGAGCCGGATCTGTCGTCTGGGGTGCGGGCACCTCACCCTGATTCCCACGGCCACCAAGACCCAAAGTCCACATCCCAAATGGGGGCTCCCCAAAGTCGCGCATGGAGCCCTTGGCTGCGGTGGTCACAAACGTGCACCGGCCTGCAGCTCGTTAACAATTAACGCACATGGAGGCAGCCCGGCTGGCTCCCTGCGCCCGYGGCTTCCAAGGCGGCCCCATTCCCTCCGGAGCGCCGGGCAGCTCCAGCCAGGCTCCTGTCCCTCYGCAGCTCCCCCGGCAGCATCCTGGCTCCGACAGGGCTTGTCCACAGCGGATCCGCATGCGAGTCCGGCCCYGCCGGCTCCGCGGCCAGCCGGGATGCACCGGGACTGCTCCCACCGGCGCTGGCGGCACYGGGCCCTGAATCGCCACGTTTTAATTTCATGTTTAAAGAGCCTAATGACTAGTTTTTGCCCTGGAGGAGAATCTTCCGCTTTGAAGCCTGTCCCAGCATGAGTGATGGGTCCCAGCCCTCTTGTCCACGCTGCCCATCTCTATTTTATCGCCTCCATGTGTGAGCGCAGCACGCAGGGAAGCCGAGCGGCCCCGAGCTGTGGCCAGGGCGCCCGCGCTCTTATCGGGATATCTGTCAGGCAAGTCCTGCCCCCAGCAGCGCCTGTTAACATCTTGAACTGTCACTTGTCCTTGCTGCAGGCTGAGGGCTCTATTTACTGTAAACACTGCCCGGGTGCAGCCGGGCAGGGCTGCCAGCGGGACGGACACRCGGCCGAGCCCAGCCCGCCTCTCCGGATGGGGCCTTTCCATGGGAACGCTTTGGCTGGGATGGACCGTGCACCCTGGCATGGAGCGTGCTGGTGCAACGGAGCTTCTGCAGCTCCGGGGAGCAGCCGGGTGCCCCCTCGCCCCAAGGCAGAGGTGCCGAGCGCCCCGACCGCGCCGGCRCTCCGAGCTGTTCAAAGGCCTCCTGAGAATCACGCCCGGGCTGTTTACCCCAGCAGAAAGAGCTCAACGTGCTCGGCTCTGTTTTACGGGCAGAGGGATCAAGGTGCACGGGYGCCTGCACCAGTGCCAGGCCGCACGGGAGGAGCAGGGAGCCTGGCACCAGACCCAAGGCCCGGCTCCCCGCGGCGGGCYTTGTCCCTGTCTCTCTCTTTAGGGCCCTGCTTCCCTCTTGCTAGCGTCAGCCCTACCGTATAAGCAGCAATAACAGTTATTTATGACTGCTGGTAGGACTCCAAAGCAGATAACGTTGAGTTGCGCCTCGTTTTTAAGCAGCCCGGCCGAGACCGAACAGCAATAACCGGCAATGTCTTCGATACCGGGATTAACTCATTCTGAACCATCCGAGTGAGTAATTAGTACTGCAATTACTTTAAACTCAGGGTTGCATTCGGCAGTGATGGCACGATAAAGCAGACGAGATTAGTTTAAGTTTAAGAAACCCGGTACAGTCAGGCTTCTCTGGAAATGAAAAGGGGACATTGTTTTCCGATCCGCCGCGCCACATACCAGGATATCAATCACTCCCTTATCATGTGAAAGGGCCCCCGGTCCCTCATGCCGCTGCCAGAAGCCGATAGAGCCCGTGCAACAAGGCGCATGCCTGCAGGATCCCAATCCCGCGGCCCCTCCGGAGCCTCCCTGCGGAGCTGGGGCATCCAGCGGGATGCAAACCGGCTAATGCAGCGTGCGGATGTGCTGGGAGCTGCTCCCGAAGCCGCAGCCGGGTGTGAAAGCCCCGACCTGCCCCATTCCTGAAGGGCTTCCCCCCGGGGGCTCCTTGCACCGCCCTGCAAGGTGCTTCCCTCCCCAGCCGGTGAGCAACCCCAGCCCGGGCAAGGACGGGAGGTTTTCTGCATCCCGGGTGGGCGTGCGGGTAATAAATCCTGAAGAGCCCCGGGTGGTTTTGGTGGGTATAAAACGCCTGAATTAGAACAAGCCTGAACTTGGTGAAGGGGATGAACTCCCTAAGCCTTGCTGCAGCGCAAGACGACTCTCCCATGGGGCAAGCCTGCCCGCTGCCCTGTGCCCACTGCCCTGTGCCCACTGCCCTSTGCCTGCTGCCCTGGCCCTGCTCAGGGCTACAGGCCACCTCCGGGTCAACCTGCAGCCCTAGGGACACAGGGACGTGGAGTGGGTGCAGGTGCCAACAGGCGGTGGAAGCAGCGCCCAGGCTGTCGCTCCATGCGGAGGTTTCTCAGGCAGCTTAGCGCTGCCGAGGGCATCGTCCCGAGGGGGAGGCCACATGCCTCCTGCGGCGTCTGCCGCACACAGGTTGGGGAGCCTGGTGGGATTCATCCCGCTGCAAACAAAGCCCAGCCGCCAAGGGGGTGCCTGCCCCACAGGTCTGTCTCTCACTCCAGGTCCTCTCCCTCTGTCCCAACCATGCTGCAAACCACAACCCCGGGCACAAGCGAAGGGACCCGCCGGGGGACATTGTCACCATCTCATTTCTCCCGCCYGGCTTCCAGGGATATCCCAGGGATATATTGCCGGGGATACATTCCCTGTATTCCCCCCGTGCACTCCCAGCCGCCGAGCGCCTTCCTGCGCTGCCCTGGCGAGGGTYTCCCCCAACTCGGCTCACACTCAGAAGCCAGCACCAAAATAGCTATTCCTGGATGATTATTCCACTCTGGAAGTGGATTAAGCTAAAGCGGAAAAAGGCACTCTTATTCTGGAATATGAGCATCCGCACAGGGGCCTCTACTGAAACGGCTGTTTTGGACGAGCTATTTTGGTGAATCACCAAGTATAAAGGGCCCCCAGATGACCTCTCTTCTTAAGGGATGGCCGCCCAGCATCTTCCCGAGCGCTCGGGCTGCGGCTCCGGCCGCTCCGCGTTTCTGTCCCTCCCCACGGCAGCAACGCGAGCGAAGATTTGGCACCGCTTGGCACGGGAAAGTCCTGCAGATTTGCTGAACTGTCCGCACCAGGACAGTCCACAGAGAGYGAGAGGGAAACCCACTTCCTAACAAAAATGTCAGCGCGAACAAAACAGCTGGCCCAAAGCCCTGCTGTGTTTCGCACCATCCCGGTGCCCTGAGCGCCCCGCTCGGCACAGCTGTGGCCAAGTGGGCAGCGTTTTGCCCCGGTGCATGCAGAGGGAGCAGGTTTGGAGCAGGCATTTACCTTTCTTGAAATGCTCTTTGAAATGCATATTATAAAACTCCCGGCCACAGCAACTTGCTGAAGACCATGCAGGGCAAGGGAGCTGCAAAAGGGACTCCAGGCTCTGCCCAGCTCCCTGTGGCTGCAACCGAAAGGCCATGGGGAGCCCGTGGCTGCAGAGGCAGCCCCTACCTGGCAGGCACGTGCAGTCGTAGGTGGTGTCGCCGGTCTGGCGGCAGGTGCCCCCGTTCTGGCAGGGCGACGGGTTGCAGGGCACGTAGAGGTGCTCGCAGTTCTGCCCCGTGTAGGCCGGCTTGCAGGAGCACTGGTAGGTGCCCACCTCGTTGGTGCAGGTGCCGCCATTCTTGCAGACGGCGGGTGAGAGGCTGCACTCGTTGACGTCCTGCTTGCAGTTGGCGCCGTGGAAGCCGGCCGTGCAGCGGCACACGTAGTGGGCCTCGAAGGGGACGCACTGCCCGCCGTTGGCGCAGGGGTTGGAGGCGCAYGGGTCGGCCTGCTGGCACGTTTTACCTGCGGGGCGAGGGGGATCGGAGCAAGGAACATAGAGTCATTGTGGTTGGGAGAGACCTTTGAGCTCGTCGAGTCCAACTCGAGCCCCTCCACACCATCCTGCTGAATCGTGTCCCTAGTGCCTCATCTACCCGTTTCTTGAACGCTGCCAGGGACAGTGATTCCATCACTTCCTTGGGCATCACTTCCTTGGGCAACCCGCTCCAAAGCTTGATTGCTCATTCCATGCAGAAATGCTTCCTAATATSTAACCCAAACCTCCCCTGGCACCACTTGAGGCCCTTTCCTCCTGTCCCATCAGCAGGATGAGGATGCCAACTGCAGCTCGGGCATGCAAGGAGGGACACCCCTGCACTAGGGAACCCCCAAACCAGGAGATTTCCAGKTTTTCCAAACCACTCTGGGGCCAAGCGCATTATAGGGCGTTCCATTAATCCCCCCAGCCCAAAAGCTCCCTTCGTGCGTGTCCCGGGGCCGCCCCTCACCTGACCAGCCGGGCGGGCAGCGGCACTTGTACTCGCTGAGCGTGAGCAGGTCGCAGGTGCCGCCGTTGCGGCAGGGGCTGCTGAGGCAGGCGTTCTCGCGGGGCGTCAGGCAGAGCTCGTCGGAGAAGCCCACGCGGCAGGCGCACGCGTAGTCCACGGTGCCGCCGCGCACCACGGCCGTGCACGTGCCCGCGTTGCGGCACGGCGAGCTGGCGCACGGGTTGGGCAGCTGGCACCGCTCGCCCACGTAGGCCCCGCTGCACCTGCGTGAGACACRGGGACGCCGTCAGGGGGGCCTCTGCAAGAGGGGACCCCCTCCCCGGTCCCCGAACCCGCAGGGGGACAGGGACAGGGACMCCCGGGGCAGTGGGTGCCACCCCTTGCAGCCYGCCCGGCCCTGCACGGCTGCTCTGGCCCCCGAAAGTCTCTGTCCCGACGACGGCTCGGGGCGGAGAGGAGAGGAAGATTAAAGAGGAGCCTCTCGCAAAGGCTTCCCCCATCAAGGAGCCTGCTCAGACTTGCAAAACCGCAGCCTCCATCCTGCTGTTCACCACAAACTGCTTTTTGTCCCCCCTCCTCTTGCTGAGGAGGAAGCTGAGGGGACACGATTCACCCTGTGCTGCCGGGGCCGGGAACGGTGCCCCGAGGGTCCCCCATGGCACCTCCACGGAGCCAAATGCTCTGGACCCCCGTGGGCAGCGCACGCGGCCCCGACGCCTGCACCGTCGCGTCGCGTCCCTCCCTGGCGCTTCATCCCCCGCGGGGCCCCGAGAAACGGCCAGCGGCTTGGCCATCTGTCACCAGAAGCCATCAGGGATGAGCCAACGGTCTCGGGAAGCGCCGGGCCAGGTGCTGGGAGCGCCGGTGCCGGGCGGCTCCAGCCCGACGTGGCACCGCGCTGCCCCGCTCCGGACCTGGCTGCATCCCGGGACCGGAGCGGCGGGACGAGCCCAGTCCGAGGGCACCTGCATGTCAAGAGAGGCTGCAGAGGGGGGTCCATGGGCACCTCCCCGGCACAGACCTCCCTGCTCAGTGACTTCTGCTGGGCGCTTTCAGCCAGGGGCGCTGCCCAACAGCTCTGCTCACCTTACCTGGCTTCACAAGAGAGATTTACAGGGCTGGGCTGCACTGCAAGCAGGGGCTGTGCCAGGACGATGGCACCATGTCCCCACACCGAGACGGCACTGTATTCCACACCGGGATGGCACCGTGTCCCACACCGGGACGCCGAGGCCACCGCATGCAATGGACGTGGTGCACAACGGTGCAGCCCTTGCCACACGGTGCAGCCCTCGCCATCCTCTTCCCCAACCCCAATTCTCGCATCCAGCCACTCTCCAAAGCGTCCAGCTGCCCTGGGCCATGCACAAAACGCCTCCCCCGGCTGCAGCACTTTGCTGGCACAGGGCACAAGCAGAGATGCTCTTGGGGACGCGGGGACATGGGCCAGGAGGCCCCACAACTGCCCGTCACCCACGGGGCAAGCAAGGAGCAGCGGCTCTGCTGGCACCTCCAGCCCCAAAAACCCAGCAATCAGCCCCAAAGTGCCACCCCGCAAGCAACAGGCGGCAGCGACGTCCTCGTCTCTCTCCCCCTCTCCCCGTCCGTTTTATTTTTTTTTTTTTAACCCAATTCTGCTTTCATTGTTGGCGCTTGTGTGAGAATTTGTCGGGCTCCGGCGACATTTTGAGTTAATGAGCCGGCATTATCCGGGCCCAATGGGAAAGAAAATGCGGATAATAATAAATCAGGGCATCTGCTGGGCGCACAAAGGGCGGCGGGGAGCAGGTGTGCATGCTAATGAGGGCACGGCAGCTGCTGCGCGCCCGCCGCCACCGTCACCGTCACCGCCGCCGCGCGCGGGCACCCAGAGCCACCGTGTGCAGTCATCTGTTAACCCCGTCCTCCTCCTCCTCCTCCTCGCGCACACACACACGCTTTTTTTCTTAAAACAATCCCTGGCGCGGAGGGAGAGAGGCGGAAGGGAAAAGCGCGGGAAGGCGCCGGCGCCGTCCGAGCGCTCRCGACGTGCTGCGAGCGCGCAGGCTCGTTAGCGGCTTATCGTTAGGGGCTCGCTTGGGGTGCCCAYGCTTGGAGAAACGCCCCCACGTTTCACGGGAACGCGCTGATTTTTGKTTTTTTGAGGGGTTTCTATTCACTCGCTTTAGAAGCTGGCTGGTAAAGGCGGTGACTCCGCCGGGGCCGCGCGACCCGGCTGCGCTCACGGGCCCGATGCTCCTCCCGCACCGAGGGGGCAGTTTCCACGTGTGAACTGGAAAGCGGCAGCAAAGCAACTTTTGGGGAGGGAAAACAAAACAAAAACACAGCACAACCAGAACCAGCCACCCCTACACCCATTGCGAGCAGWGCAGGGCTTGCTCCTGCACAGAGCCCGAGCAAATCTGCTATGGTTAGAGGACCACACTTCTGAATAACGGCATTTTCTTTGCTTTGCTTTTGAAGCAGAAGCCCTTCTTGCCCTGCTGTATCACAAACGGGGCCCAACTGTTTAACAACAGTGCAAACCACACCAGCAACTTCTCGCTTTCCCCAAAGACGCATTTGCCTGCAGGACCCCCCCGCACCTCCAAGCCGAACCCCCAGATCATGCCCTTCACCCCACAGCACCACCAGCACGGCTGGCAGGGGCCGGCAAGGGCGCTCCCGGGAGCCTAAGGCACAGGAGGAATTCCGACAGTGCCAAGCGGCCGCTTCATCCCCGGCAGAGCTGCTGGAGTCCCGCGGCGAGCGGAGCCGCCTGAGCTGCATTTAAAAGCCCAACAACCACAAGCGCTTTGGAGACTCCCGGCTGAGGAGGAGAACCCGGAGCCAGCGCTCGCATGCAAAGCAGGAGATCAAAAACCAGGTAGACACCACGAGCAGCCCGGGAGGGGATTTATTCCTCGGCTCTGCTGGGTTCAGAAAGCCCAGAGTCAGCAATGCCGGGACGGCGGCGCGTTGGGAACGCTGCAAACCTCAGGACAGGTCTGCCYGCTCTGCCAGGGCACACCCGGAGCGCTGCCTGTGCACGAACACCCGGCCAGGGGTGTTGCTCACAACCGAGCGGCCTTGGAGGGCTCATCCTCGTCCTCCTGGCGCAAGGTCTCCTGCATGGCCCATGGCTCCGATGCCAGAGCAAGCTGTGGTTTTTCCTTTGCCATTTCCCAAGCAAGGGCTTTGCAGACTAAACGCAGGGCAGCTTATGGGAATTAACATAAAAGACATTAAAGCTGCACTTTAATTATAGACATATACTATTAGTGTGTGCATACATACATACATATAGGCAGGGCAGGTGCTTTAGGATGAAGACGTGCCAGAAAGGCCACCGTGGCCCTGAGAAACCAGCCTCCACACAGCGAAGGGAGCTGAGCTCCTGGCATCGCCCAGGTCCAAAGGATCCTTCCTGAAATCCCTGCTCACAGCGGCGTCCGGCTCCCGAATCCACCAGGAGCAGCTACAAGCTGGCGGGGCGCTCACCGCCCCGAGCTGCTGCTCGCTCGTTACCCCGGCGGGGCTGGGCCCATCTCTGGGTTTTGGAGGCTCCATGTGGCAGCAGTGTCCGCGGCCGAGCCCGGATTTGCACCGCGGCTCCTGCTCGCCCCGGCGCCGTTTTGTTGGGACAGGTCAGGAGGAGGCCGGCGGCTCCATTCCCATGGCCGCGGGATGCGGCGGGTGCCCGGCCCTGCCCGGGCTCTGCCCCAAATGAGTGCTCAGGGAGCGCGGGGTGCTCCGGATCCATCCACTCCCTCTGCTCCCTCTGCCCCTACTCCCTCTGCTCCAGATCCATCCACTCCCTCTGCTCCCACTCCCACTCCCTGCGCTCTGGCACCCTTGGCGAGGGCCATGCAGCGGGATGCAGGGCCAGGCAGCGCATCCCTGGGGAGCATCGGGGCTCCGACCGCCGAGCCCCGACCAACTCGCCGCACGGCTCCGCCGCTCCGCTTTGCTCTGCCTGCCGCGCATCCCTCGCGAGTGATTCACGCGTACGACCCCGCGGGATTTCAGCAGGGCTCTGGAGCGCTCCGGAGCCGGGAGGAGCCGCAGAGGTGCCCGGGGGGCCCATCCGCACTGCCCGGCGCCGTTTCCCCCGGAGCCGCCGGCAACAGGTTTCTCCGCTCCGGCGCTCGCCCTCCGCAGCAATGCGGCCACTGAAAGCATCCTGGGGCAGATGTTCCGCCGACCTTTCACCCCACGCTAATTCGGGAGTTTGGGCTGTTTTCCCTGCGGAGCGGAGCGGCCATCTGCCGCGGAGCGGGGCCAGACCCGCCCGCGCCGGGCGGCCGCGCGCGCTGACGCCGCCGGCAAAGGGCCCCCCCGCACGGAGCGGAGCCCGTTCTGGGCTCCAAACGGGCAAAAGGAGCCGGAAAAGTGCCGGAAAGGCCCGTGCGAGCCAGTGTGTGGCGAGGCCGCTGGCTCCTGCGGGACGGTGCAAAACGGTCCCCGAGGGGCCAAGCGGGAGCTGCGCTGCTTGGGTTTCTTCCCTGTGAGATTGGAGGAAAGGCGAGATGTCCAAGCAGAGAAGCTCCCTTTGCGCCTTATTTGYGCCTTCCTTTGCAAAAGAAGCTGAGCTTATTTGCACCAGCTCATGCAAACCCAGCCCAAAGTGCTCAGGTTTTCTCCTTCCATTAGACACCCCACCACAGGAGTCACTTTTCCAGTTGTGCCAGTGGCTTTTCTCCCTGGCACAGACAGGGATCCACTTGCCAACGCTCTTCTGTTGCACATGGTGTCCCGGGGAGGCAGGATTTGCATCCTGCTGCCTCCATTCCCGCTCCATTCCCACTCCTCCATCATACCACCACGCAGGACAAGGTGGAGCCCCGCACCCAATGGCACTTCCAAAAGTCCCACCCAGGTGTTACTTCATTAARCGCTCTGGGACACGAGCCTGGGAAGAAGGAAACAATTCCGGAGAGGGAGCTTGGCTGGCAAAGCAGCAGGTTCCTTCGAGTGACATCAGGTTAATAAAGCAAGAGCAGATTCCAGCCTCGTTTAATTAAAAAAAAAAAAAAAAAAAAAAAAGAAGAAGAAAAAAGCAAACTGCAATCCCAGGTCTTTGATGTGTTTTGCTTTTTCTTCTTTTTTTGTTCCAGGTCGTTTTTGACCTAGCCCAAGCCATCTAATTGAGATTTTTAAGACCCAGACTTTCATCTGGGAAGAAACTAAAGGAATTCCCAAAGCAGGATCATGGTCAGGGGTGAGGGAAAAACGTGCTAGAGCCACTGTTCTTCTCGGGGAAAGAAAGGGRAAAAAAATGGCT